CTATTCTTGTTTGTGAGAAGGACTTTGGGAGTAAACCTGAATCCATATCTGCTGCCTTGTGGGACATCTTTGGGAGAAGAAAAGGCTAAGGAGTAAACCTTACACAAATCTGGAGTGGAGTCCCAAATATGGCTGGATGGTATCTTGTATGCTTCCTTCCAGCAACTCCTCCAACCAAAATGGTGCTTTGCTTTGCTTTGCTTTGCTTTGCTTTGCTTTGCTTTGCTTTGCTTTGCTTTGCTTTGGACCACATCAGCAAGACCAAGAGTGGAGAATCTTGTCATCTGTGCAGCCCAGGACCTCCATACACACTGCCCAGGCTTGTACACTCCTCCATTGTTTCTTGAGACAGCCGGATGCCAACAACCCAACAAAAGTTAGGATACTGCAATCCTATTGTGAATATTTACCAGGGTGTGGGTCCCTTTGACCTCAGTGGGCTTTACGTCTAAGTAGGCAAGCATAGAATTGTATAGTGAATTGAGATGTCCTGGTGACAATGGGTCTAATGCAGCTTTCCCTAAACTAGTGTTCTCCAGAATATTGTTGGACAACAACACACATCATCCCTGACCACTGGCCATGCTGCTTGAGATGATGGGTTTTGGAGTTCAGTATCAGCTGGAGAACACCAGGCTAGAGAGGCTGGTCTAGGATATTATTTTCCATGCAGTTCTAGGCACATTACTTTCCAGGCTCTCTTTTTTGAGGATCAGTCACCAGTTGCGTATCGAGGTCCCCAAGCCACCCCTCAAATAACTCACAACACACACATAATTTTTGTTTAAGGTTTTTGGCATAATTCTGGCCACAACTTTATTAAATTACATAAATCTGTGAGTGGTTGCTTAGACATTAGTTAAGACTATCTGTACCCCCGCCTGGGACAGAACTGACTTCTGAACTCCCTCGGAAGCCAGTGAAGGGAAAACAATATTGGGGAGCCATGGAGCTGAGTCACAGGCCCTCACCGCTCACCCACATGCTCCCCAGGGCTTGCCGGCCCTGGTCCCATTTCAGGGATTCGGACGAAATCGTGGCAAGGCCCTGGATTCCTTTAACAGAATTCCCTTCCGCACCAGCATTGGAGGGGCAGGCCCAGCCTATCCGTACCCCTCCTCCAACCAATTTATAACCAATGCCTAACCGCAACCTTACAAGTTGTGACGATTTGCTACGTAGTAGGCAAAAACCAAATGGCTCAGCCAATCAGCCAAATGGACAAAATTCCTACCAGGCCCCTGCCCCAATGGCAGACGACCCCATGACAGGCATAGCAAGGTCAACCAAAACACCCTGAACTCAGGGCGGGCGATCCGATGCACACAGCGAAAGAGAAAGCAATAAGCTGAGTGCCCCAGTATTTAAAACCTTCGATCCCACCCACCACATTGCAACATGCAATTTGCCCCAGCAACCCAGCCATCCAATCATTGCCTCAGGTCATCATATTCAACCCTGCCTGGCAAAAGAGGGATGGCTCGGCGGGCCCCACCGCAACACGCGCTCTCTTTTCAGGGAGAACACGCTTTGCAGAACTGATATTGTGGAATGTTTCCCTTTGTGAAAACGTTTGCTGGATTCGATCCAAAGTGGTTCATTTCTTTCAGTGCAAGTCATCCTTTGAAGGAGTTCTATTTTCCCCCTGGTATTCAGCACTTTGTTTGCTGAAGAGAAGCAGAGATTAGTAAACCAAAGTGTTACTATCAACAGAGCTTGACATCCATTATGGATTTCCATTCAGACCTGGCTACAACTGGCGTTCTTTCTGGCACCGAGACAGGCTTTAACCTAAATTGTCCTTACTGAGAACAGGAGAGCCTGATATATTTGGAATTAAAGTGGATGCATGCTCTTAATGTAAGGCAGGCCAGCATTTGTCCGTGGCACTTCCATAATGCATTGGATGGGAAATGGACCAGATTAGACAGGATAAATTATTAAGTCATAAGTCTAGGTTTTCCAATTGGTATACTGCAGGAATGGCCAGCTTTGGGCTTGTGAGTCACTGTCTGATGCTGGCTCAAGAAAGAAGAGGACTGTCTTGCTGGGAGCCTGAAGGATCCTGCCCTTCTTCTCTCCACCTGGCTTGGAGCGGGGCCTGACACGCTTCATAAAGGAGTGCTGCTGCTGTTACTGGGCAGAGAGGGCTCTGCTTTTGTTTTCTTTTTTCGTTTTCTTTTTTTATAATATCTTTATTAATTTTAACATATAAATTATAAAATGTACCACAGAACTTATCACTTATACCATCTTTTTGGACTTCCATCAGCACCTCTGATGATCCACCGTTTTAACCACTTCTTATGCATTTCTTAACTTTATATTGCCTTTACATCTCTTAACAAATCATCCCCCCCCTTATCCATTTTTACAATACTTCTAATTATACTCCTCACAAAACTTCTTGCAACCCTACAAACGTCGTCTGTCCTTCACAATTAGTCCGTAAATTTACTCCAGTTTTCCGTGAATTTCTGGTCTCACCGGTTTCGAATCCTTCCTGTTAGTTTATCTAATTCTGCATAGTCCATTAACTTCATCCTCCATTCTTCGATCGATGGTAACTCTTCTTGCTTCCATTTTTGGGCCAATAATATTCTTGCTGCTGTTATTGCAGTTTTCTTTTTTCGTTTTAATCTGCTTTTATTTTTTATGTATGCCATTTTAAATTGTGATTGATATTAATGCTGTATTCTTAGTTTCAGATTTTATGATTTGTGTGGAAATTGTTTCCCATTTGGTTGTGTACTTTTTGATGTGTTTTATTTATTGTTTATGACTTTTTTATGTTGGTAATTATGTAAATCTTGACATGTTGTGAGCTGCCTTCAGCATTGTTTTAACTATGGAAAGGTGGCATACAAATAAGATGATGATTATGATGATGATGATGATGATGAGCACAAAAGGAGAGGCACTAGTCTAAGGCCTAAGGAGGAAGTCATTGTTCAGGAGAAGTCCTGTCCTGACCTGACCTGGAAAATTTGGTAGGCTTTTCTGGTCATGGGTAGATAATGGATGTGTGGGTGGGTGGAGTCATATACGATATTCAGACAAAGCCATTTCCGAATTACTGAGGAGAGGGGGTTGTGGGCAGCCACCCTCCCACACATGCGGGGGCGGGCCCTGCCCCCGCGAGAGCCAGGGAATCCCCGGGCGTGCCTGCGACCCGACCCGCCAATCGGCGGGCCGGGGAGGCGTGGCCTAACCTATTTAAGGCCAGGTACGCCCGGGGACCGCCCTCTTTCCCCTCGCCAGCTGGACGAAGAATTTTCGTAGGAGGTTTTTTCCTCGAGGAGCTCTCGTCTTTTTCCTCCTTCATTTCTTTGCCTCGTGCCCTTCCTGTTTTTAAGAGCGCTGAGGATCGCCACACTTGGTCCTAAAGGAGCTTGGATTTTGCTTCGCCTTCGGCTGGTTCGGTTGCCCTGGTGCGCTGGTCCGCGAAGCGATCGCGACGCCGCTTGTTTGGGCAGATTTTCATTGAAGAGCGGAGTAGCGGAGGATCCGGGCGGTGTGCTCCCATTCCAGCGCAGTATTTTCGGATCGGCAGGAGTCACAGCGTGTGGATCAGGAAGGTCGAGGTTTGACTGCGGGGACACTTTGTTATTTCTCTAATTTTACTGCGGGGACGCCTTGTTATTTTCTCTAATTTTGGGGGGGGTTCGCTTTAGCAGCGCTGACCGGAGGTGCGCACATTATTTTCGCGCTTATAGAACTAAGTGTCTAACCTTTCGCAGTTGTAATATTTGCTTAAGGGGTTGGTTTTTCTTTAAGGCCGGTTTCTCCTCCTGCAGGCGGTTTGAGTCGTTGCCAGGGTTACGGCCATTCATAGGCCATCCCTTCATGCCACGTGGCCCGGCGGTGTCGCGGCCGCCATTTTGAGTGGGGCAGCCGGTATTTGCATTCCTTGGCAGGCGCCATTTTGGTAGGGGCCTCGTGGTCGGCTTGCAGCGGCCATCTTGGTAGGGTAGGAAACAAGCCGCTAGCTACTGGAGCCCTATTTTACAGGCTAACTTGCAGCTATACACTGCAAACAATTTGAAACACAAGTCGGTAGCTTGCTTATTCAATTTTATATATTTTATCTTGCTTCTCAAACTGCTAAGCTTGTTCGTCCGCTTTAAAAATCGGCTCAAGGGCTGGGCCTGGGGCGACAGTCGTGTGCTTTCGATTCCGCTATTCTTTCCTTCCTCCGCGTATTGTGCCGCCGTTGTGAGGCGCTGTGGCTCTGGGGGTGCAAAAGTAATTGAGTTAATTGTTGGATTTCTGTGATCGCAAAGACGTCTGATTTCCTGTTCCTTTATTAGCGAAAGCAATACATACAATACACGGAATTTAATAGGGTTAACCATAACATACATACAATAATTTGATAACCTTTATTGATAAAAATTTAATAATAATAATAATAGTTATACTAATAATTGTAATTATAGCATAATTAAAAAGTACACTAAATAGAACATACATACATATATACATAAACAGATACATACTAAAGTACAGTAAGTGGAACATACATACATATATACATACCCAGATACATACTGACAAAAACAAAAGAGAATAATATTAGTATCAGTTTAAATACTAATAATCCTAATTAATAATAATAAATAATAATAATAATAAATAAATAATTAAAAAAAACAAAATAAATAAATAAATAAAAATAGAAAATTTTGTAATAATAGTTACAATATATAAGCAATAAAGCAGGCATCAAAAATAGCAGTAGCTCTACCAGGAGCCCGGCAGTTAACCAGGCTTAGCGGTCAAAAAAAAAAAAAAAAAAAATTTTGGAAGCGAGTCGAAAGCAATTTAGCTAAGCCAGTAAAGCGTTTTACTATTATAAAGTCTAATCATCTGATAGCCTTTGAGGTGTAGACAATACTGAGCTAGGTGGAGCTCCAAATTTTTCGGTTGGAAAGTGCAGTTTAGTGGCGCTCGCTCTTTCAAAGTTCCACGTTAGCATTCAGGTTCTGCATCTAACGGTCATGGCGTCCGGTGGGGAACAGCAGGCTTCCACTTCGGGCAATCAGCAGGCACCTGGCGCAAGTAATGGTGGCGCACAAACAGGGGCCTTACCTTGTGATCCGCAAGCCTTTGCACAATTTTTCCAGGCATTTGAAACATTTTACAGGCAATGTAGGCCTGGTGCTTTGGTTCTTCCCCCTGAACCGTCACAGGATGTTATACCAGACACGCTCCCTAACATGCAAGGGCAGCAGGTATTGCCAGGTCCTTCAGGGGCCAACGCCCGTTCTGAAACGTCTAATTCGGGTCGCCCCAATACCCGTGCTCAGGCAGCCATCTCTAAAAAAGCAACTCATAACGCGGGAAAGGGTAAGCCATCGGCGAAAGGCCCCGGCAAGGGTAAGGCTAGCTCAAAAGCTTTAGGTAGACAAGCCCCAGCTCACGCAATAGACATCCCTAGTGTGTTCCAAGAGCAGCAGTCCCACCAAAGCTCAACAGAAGACAGTGAGGGTTCCAGCTTAGAGGAGGAACAAAGGGAACCTCAAGTTCCTCAGCCAGGGGCTGATGGGAATGCGGCCTCCGCAGAGAAGCAGGGCGGCAAGCGCAAGTCCAAGAAGAAGCACACGGCTGCTAAGAAGAGGAGGAGTAAGCAGTCCGAGACGGAGGACGAGTCAGGTACGTCATCTTCCGATTCGGATAGCGAGGGACCCATGGATGGCTACTGGGGTTTAGGTGAGGGTAATCACGGGATCCCGTTATGGGCTCACGAAAGGAGAGCCAATTCTCATCGTAAAACTTTCAACGGGGTGCTCGATTGGAAAGATGGGACCCTGGTGGAGGATGTAAAGGTCGCCACCAATCAGTCCACCGATTTTATTTTGGGAAATCATCTATCCCAGAAGAGGAGGAATAAGATACTTAACGGTGATTATGTGGACATGTTTACCTTGCTCCCCCCCACTAAGCTACTGGGAAAAGGTGAAAAGAGGCGATCTTCTGGTAAAGGAAGGTACAGGACCCCTAGGGCCGAACGCACCTTCGAGAACTGGTTGGACGGGTACCAGGTTTTCATGGGTGTTGTTTGTGCTGCGTATCCTAGGCGGGCCATGGATTTGGTCGCCTATTTAGCTCACGTGAGGCGGGCTCACTCGCTGGCAGGGGAACAGGCCGCTCTAACGTATGATGAGAACTTTCGCAGAAACGCTTCCCTACTCCCTTCCACCCGATGGGACCTGACGGACCCTAACTTCTGGGGCGAGGATGTCACTCCATACATTGAAAGAAGAAACCAGGGAATGGTCAAAGCAGGTAGGACGGAGGTAAAGCGGCGTCGCCTTTGTTGGGAGTTCAACAAGGGTACATGCTCCAGACCGTCTTGTAAGTATTTGCACGAATGCGAACGGTGCTGGGGAAATCACCCAGCTACCGCGTGTTTTAAGAACAAACAGCAGCCCTTTTGGGGGGGCAGGGGGTACTTCCACAACAGCAATAGAGGTGCCCCCGGAGCCTCCCACCAGGGAACTGGTAACCGCCAGTAACGTGCATATGGGTCTGGCCTTCTCCCCCGTCTGTCTAGAACCCCTCAAATCCCTGCTAGATCGTTACCCTAATCGGAATGCTGCACAGTATCTGTGGGAGGGCTTTTCCGGAGGTTTCAGAATCCCAGTGGTTTTTCCACCTTCCTCGGGCGAACCGCGGAATCAAAAATCAGTTAGGGAAAGACCAGAGATAGCCAGAAGGAAGATTGAAAAGGAAATTCGGGCGGGTCGGGTAGCCGGCCCTTTCTCTAAGCCCCCCATCGAAGGCCTCCACCTATCCCCCCTAGGCATTGTTCCAAAAAAGACCCCGGGGGAGTTCCGCTTGATTCATAATCTGTCTTACCCTAAGGGAAGGTCAGTCAATGACGCGATCCCCCAGGAGCTTTGTACAGTCAAATACGCCTCCTTTGACCAAGCAGTAAAAATAATTCGCAGATTCGGAAAGGGGGCGCTTCTTGCCAAATGTGACATCGAGTCGGCGTTCCGACTCCTCCCTGTGCACCCGGCCGACTTCCGCTGGCTGGGCTTCAGATTCGAAGGGGCGTATTTCATTGACAAAGCTATGCCGATGGGCTGCTCCGTAGCCTGCTCGGCCTTCGAATCTTTCAGTACCTTTCTAGATTGGGCTCTTCGCTTCAGGACCGGGTCCCCGGGCGTGTCACATTACCTCGATGACTTCATTTTGGTGGCAGAAAGCAAGCAGCGATGCTCCGCCTTATTGGAGGCTTTCACGGCCCTGGCCGGAGAACTGGGCGTACCACTGGCCGCAGAAAAAACCGAGGGACCTGCCACCTCTATGGTTTATCTGGGCATTGAATTAGACACCGTCGCCCAGACGTCCAGGCTGCCCAGGAATAAATTGGACGCTCTTAAAGCTCTGATTCAACAGTTACTACCATTAAAGAAAGTTACCTTACGGCAAATACAATCCTTGCTAGGACACTTAAACTTCGCCTGTAGAGTTGTGTCGCCCGGCCGCCCATTTTGCGGCCGTCTGGCCAAATTGTCAGCGGGTCTAAGGGCCCCACAGCATAGGGTACGCCTTTCCAAGGATGTTAAGGCGGACTTAGGTATTTGGCTCCAATTCCTTGACAAGTACAACGGTGTATCACTGTGGCAGGATTCCATGGCGCTCGGCGCCGATTTCCAGGTACACTCGGACGCAGCAGGTTCACTGGGTTTTGGCGTTTATTTCAGGGGTCAGTGGTGTGCTCAAAGATGGCCCGCCGAATGGCAGGGGCAGCCTATCACTCGTGACCTCACATTCCTTGAATTTTTCCCTATCTTGGTAGCCGTGCATATTTGGGTAGACCAGTTCCGCAACCACAGGGTTTGTTTCAATACGGATAACCAGGCGGTAGTAGCTGTCCTTGCGAGACAGTCCGCGCGCTCCACTAGGGTAGGAAACTTGTTAAGGTCCTTCGTCCTCCTTTGCTTGGAACATAATATTTACTTTTCTGCCAAATTCGTGCCTGGCTGTGTTAATGACATTGCGGATGCTTTATCTCGTTTCCAGATGGAGCGCTTCCGCTCACTAGCCCCGAATGCGGAGCAATCATCGATGTCTTTCCCGGAGCATCTCTGGAACCTTGGGAACAAGAAGTGATGAAGGGAGTATTCGGTGCAGTCGCCCCTTCGACTATGAGATCATATGCGAAGGCTTGGGCGGATTTTCTAAAGTTCTGCAGCAAAACACCCAATGCCAGGCGGAATTCGATTCCGTCAACAAGGGAGGTACTCCGCTACCTAACCCACTTGAAGGAGCTGGGCAGGGCACCTAAGACCCTCAATATACATTCCGCCGGTATTTCCTATTTTTGTAAAGCCTTCTTTGCATCTGACCCGTGCGCACAGTTTATCGTGCGTAAGACTTTGGAGGGTTGGCGTCGCCAACACCCCCCCAGCTCCGACAAGAGAAGGCCCATTACGTTCGACATCCTGGTCCAGATACACAAAAAACTACGCGAAATCTGCTGGTCTAAGTATGAGGCTCGCCTATTTTCTGCAGCGTTCTCCATTGCCTTTTCTGGTGCCCTACGCATCGGTGAGGTGGTATGCGAGGGAGGAGTTACTCACTCTCAGAGGGGCATCCTTTTGAGTGATTTGACCCTTTCCGAGTCCGACCTTATAATTCAAGTCCGGAGCTCCAAGACGGACCAACAGGGAAAGGGGTCCCTCATGCGCTTACCAGCAGCTCAGGCTAGAGGCCCTTGTCCGGTAAGGGATACCAGGCGTTTTCTCTACTTAAGACCCAGCGGCCCCGGCCCTTTGCTTATACACGCCAATCGATCGCTATTGGCGAGGCATCAGTTTACGCGGGTGCTGCGCTTGGCGTTGGCGGCATGCGGACTACCCGCGGCCGAATTCGCAGCGCACTCCTTCCGGATCGGTGCCGCGACCACGGCAGTGCACCTGGGTCTCTCCGCAGAGAGGATAAAGGACTTAGGGCGGTGGAAGTCCAACGCATACAAAGCCTATGTGAGAAAGAACCTCTGACTATCGAAGGTGCTCCTGACCTGGTTTTCCTTGTCCTTTTCCCTTTCAGGTGACAAGCGGGTACGCATTTGGCTGGTGGGCCATAGCATCGTGCACTGGGCTAGGAATCGCGCCACGTCTACCGGTTTGGGGCCGAACTTGGGCTTCCCTAAAAATGTGGAGCTGATCTGGATAGCGCGTAGGGGAATGCGCTGGGGTGAATTCAAGCCGGCTGTGATGGCGAGGGCTGCCGCCGATGGTCCACCCGATGCATTGGTTATCCAGTTGGGTGAAAATGACTTAGCATACCGCAAGTCTATCGACTTGAGATGGAACATTTTTGATGATTTTTCCCATCTGAGGGCGGTTTACCCAAATATGGCTATTTTATGGTCCTCGTTGCTCGAGAGGAGAATTTGGCGCGATTGCGTGAGCCCGGTTGGAATCAATAAAGCAAGAAAGGTCTTGGAGCGGGCTGTGGAACGTAGAGTGGCGGCTCTGGGTGGGTGTGTCATAGGACACCCTGGCATCCAGTACAGCAACGAGGCCCTCTACAGATGGGATGGCGTGCATCTGTCAGATGCTGGAAATGACATTTGGCTTAGGGACATTATAGCAGGGATTAGGAATTGGTTGCAGTTTTGAAGGTATTGGCGGCGAGCTTCGCTCGAGTGGCGGTTAGGCATTGGCAGGGGTTATTGTTATGCAAATGAGCGGGGGGAAGGAAGCGCCATCACCTTCCCCCAGAAGAAGGGTAGTCCGGTAGAGGACTCCGGGGGGCGTGGCCTTGTCCGAAACCTAGGGAGGTAAGGGCCCCCGGCACGCCCCCGAGCGGTGACACCCGTGGGATCCTAGTTGGCGTACTTCAACAGGACTCCCGCGGTTTGTGGTTAACCCTTCCCGGCCAGCATGCCGGGTAGTCGTTAGGTGCCAATGCCTAAGGCCAATACCTTCATTTCTGTAATCAATAAAGTTGTGGCCTTTTTATGCCCATTAACCTTACATCACGTGTCCAGTGTCTTCATTTCTCTTGGGGGAGGGGTCTTGCCACGCAAAGCCATTTCTGAATTACTGAGGAGAGGGGGTTGCGGGCAGCCACCCTCCCACACATGCGGGGGCGGGCCCTGCCCCCGCGAGAGCCAGGGAATCCCCGGGCGTGCCTGCGACCCGACCCGCCAATCGGCGGGCCGGGGAGGCGTGGCCTAGCCTATTTAAGGCCAGGTGCGCCCGGGGACCGCCCTCTTTCCCCTCGTCAGCTGGCTGAAGAATTTTTTCCCATCCCACCCACCCTGTAGGCTAGCTAGGCTTGACCTTGCTATGGACTCCGGTTGGTCGCCGCAAGGGGCCTGGTAGGAATTTTTTCCAAGTTGGCGCACTGTCTGCCTTTTGGTTTTTTCGCCTACCTCGTAGCAATCGTCACAACTTTTGGTATATGGCGGTTAGGCATTGGCAGGGGATTATTGTTATGCAAATGAACGGGGGGGAAGGAAGCGCCATCACCTTCCCCCAGAAGAAGGGTAGTCCGGTAGAGGACTCCGGGGGGGCGTGGCCTTGTCCGAAACCTAGGGAGGTAAGGGCCCCCGGCACGCCCCCGAGCGGTGACACCCGCGGGATCCTAGTTGGCGTACTTCAACAGGACTCCCGCGGTTTGTGGTTAACCCTTCCCGGCCAGCATGCCGGGTAGTCGTTAGGTGCCAATGCCTAAGGCCAATACCTTCATTTCTGTAATCAATAAAGTTGTGGCCTTTTTATGCCCATTAACCTTACATCACGTGTCCAGTGTCTTCATTTCTCTTGGGGGAGGGGTCTTGCCACGCAAACTATGCCACACACATCAAAAAGTACAGAACCAAATGGAAAACAATTTCCACATAAATCATAAAATCCAAAACTAAGAATACAGCATTAATTTGTATTAATACAGCATTTGTCTACTGTACAGCAGGTGTGGACAGAAGGTAATCTGGGATCTAGTAGATTTGTAGTCTTGAGCAAGTTTTCTGACTCTGTATAGTTTAACATCATCGACAACATTATTACTACTACTACTTCTCCTCTTCTAAATTAGGCTGCAGAAATGCAGGGTATACACATATCGTACATTTAAAGCACACACAAACACACACTGCAAATTATCCTGGAAACTATAGTTCACCCCAGACAGCACCCTTAACAAACTACAGTTCCCAGGATTATTTTGCCAGGATGCGGGTGTTTTAAATGTATGGTGTTTACACAGCCATAGAAAGCCTGGTGTGGGAGACCAGTGCCCTCTGTATAGGGCTCAGGGCTCAGCTAAATTCAGTGCCCAGTCCTAACTTTCACAAAGATCCAAACTGGACATGAACGTCACTGCAAAATAAAAGTCACAGCGGTGGTATAAGGGTACTATTTTATGTCACATGCTTAAGCCCTGCCCGTTTAGAGTTTGAATTATCCCCTAGAGTTTGACAATGACCTGGCCAGGAAGATGTGCCCAAGAAGTTCTAACCCAGAGATCTGCCATGACACGCCTTTTGGGAGTC